AGGATTTAAAAAAGGTTATTTATTGGCAAGAAAAGGCTGCAAATCACGGGAATGTGATTGCTATAAAAAATCTTGGGGTTTATTATCGTAATGGTGTAGGAGTTGATAAAGATCATAAGAAAGCTTTTGAATTATTTCAAAAGTCTGCAGAAGGAAATTATTCGGATGGAATATCAAATTTAGGATCTTGTTATTACGATGGAATTGGAACAAACGTTAATAAACAAAAAGCATTTGACTTGTATGAAAAAGCCGCAAATTTAGAAAATAAGTTTGCTCAACATCATCTTGGGTTTATGTATGAATTTGGAGATGGAATTGAAAAAAATATTGACAAAGCAATTTGTTGGTATGAAAGATCCGCTAAACAAGGATTTAAAAGAGCTCAAAATAGTTTAGATAAACTATTAGAAGGAAAAAAAATAGAAAAATGATAAATACTTATAAAACAAATTGTGATTTTGCATTAGAATGTAAATATTTTCAAATTTTATACATTTAGTCAAAGTACAGTTTAAAATTAATGTATTACTTATGAAATAAAAAATAAAATAAAAAATGGAAATAGAAAATAATAAATCCTCAGTAAATTACCGCGTCAAATTTATTTACCTAATATTTTTTTTTTTTTTTTTTTTTTTTTTTTTTTTTTTTTAGTAATAATAAATCTCTAGGTAATCTCTAGGTATATACGATTGAATTTATGAACTTTTGGCTTGTTTATCATATTTCAGAAAAAATTTCCGCTATGGAACCTTGATCTCCCTGTCGGTAATGGTGGGAAACTCGATAGATCATGGAGACCTAAATTCCATTACAAAGAATGATGTCTATCTCTTTCTCGAATTGATATATTTTGATTCCTTTAAATAAGATCCTCGTGAATGAGAAAACACAGCCTTTGCCTTAAATTTAAAGCTACGCGTTTGATCTTTGTATTGCACCCCAACGGCTTATGATATTCGTCTAGATAATACAGGAATCGCGATCTATTAAGAAAATTAGAGCGATTTATTAAAATTGAAAAAAGAAATGGTATAATAAAGTTTATGTACATTTTTTATTATTGAGCACTAACGCTAATAAAGTAAGTATAAAGATACTCGATATAAAAACGTTAACGTACAATATTTGACGCAAAATGAAATCAACAGGTTAAAACTATCATAAAAATTGTTGAAAAGTACCTTTCATATCGAAGGTTTAAGAATAAAGAACGCTTGTCATACAGAAAGAAATTTTATAGGCAAACTGCGAATGTTCGTTTAAAAATAAATGTTTGAAATGTCAATCGTTTCGTTTTAAAAGATTTTTTGTTCGAAAAGTCGTTTTTGTGAAATAAAATACAACCTCTTTCTTTAACGTAAGATTTAAACTTTATTATTAAAAATAAAGGATCTTATTTTCGTAATTTCATAAATTTGCTGCACCTCATACAAAAGTAAGTAATATGAAGCGTTGAAATTTTAGGTTACAGAACAAGGAGATAAAGTTGCATTTAGACTATACACAAGCAAATGATATAAATTAAAAACATTTTAAAGTAAAAACTTTAAAAGCTTGGTCAAGTTTGTTTCTTCAAAAAATAGTAAACTATTTATCATTCATTTTTATTTATTTTTTTTTTTATATATATAGTTCTTTAGCTCTTTCTTTTAAAACATTATAATTTTTTGCCTCTGTCCTTTCTTTTTTTAAAAAAATTGAATTGTAAAACTTTCACTTTTTTTTATTTATATTATACAAGTTACGTTTTAAATTTAACATTTAAAATTTGTTAACCATTTATTTTTCCCAAGCTAACCAATGATGCCATAATTTAGTACGACAAGAGGATGGAGTTGAGCGCATGAAGTGAAATAGTAAACTCTGATGGTTGTTGATTTTAACCGATCCATTTATGATGTTATGCGATACGTTTCTTCCGTAAGATATCACCAAAAAAATTTTTTTAATTACGCTTACTATTTTTCAACACGAAAATGCCTTTGTTTAGTAAGGTATTTTAAGAATCATTCTTCTAATTATTTTAAACTACTTTATTCGTGACGTCTAAACTTTAGTTTAAACTTCATTTGATCATAAAATAAGAATTGCCGAAATGCTGTTCCAAAATTTTCGTTTTTAAAATTTTACTCAACCATTCGCCTTTTAATTTGCCATAATACTATTTCTAAAGCACTTTTTGGTTCAAATGTCCGTAAAGTATTCTAAAATGATTTGTTCTATATCATCTAATTTATTTCTGGTTATAACTTTATCAACGATGTTTGTGAAGCCCGGCGTCGAAATTTAATTGAAATGAACTTGGTCTGGGTAGTGCGTTTCCCCCTTCCTAGCTTCTGAATCATTGGTGTTCTTAGTGTATTAATAATTTTTGGCACAAACTTTTAACATTCGTCCTTATTGATGAAAGTGTGTATATAGGGAAAAAAAAAAATGTTTTTTTTTCTTTTTTTTCTTTATTTGATTTGAGCAATTAATAATATTATTAATAATGGATTTGTTTTGTTTAACCATGAAAATAATTTATATAAGGAAAAAATTTGCAGATTCTCATGATCTCCTTTTTATGGTTAACTTATCTTATCATAATTTTATTTGGTAATTCATTCAATGCGTTCGCAGGCTGAAGTGAAACCTTTCCCTTTTTGGTATTTATTAAAGATCAATTCATTTTATGCTTTATCGATTTCTACATTGTGTATAGGCGATAAAGGTAATTCAGGTTTTATTAAAAAGATTCTTTGTAAGCAACTTTTTCAAGTAATTCTTGTGGTATTCGAGTTCAGATTTATTTTCCAAACTCTTTTGTAATGTTGTAGAAATTTTTAACAAAATTTTTGGTTTCTGATTATTGAGGTGTTCTTTTTTATCGGTTAGTTCTCGTTGATCAAATTGTCATGTAAAATCAAGTCATGTGTTAATCTTTGATAATGCTCTGTTTCTATTATTTAATTACTTTGTATTGTTGTCTTTGTAAGTTGGTGAATTAACTTTTTTTTTTTTAGAACAAGTTTACTCCTTTCAAATGGTGAAATTCATCTTATCTGCATCATTTAAGATTGATGTGTTTCATTATCTTGAACACGTGGTTTATTATTTTGTAACTCCATATTAAGAATAACGATGTTTGTGTAGTTTAGCGGCTGTAGCCATACTGATTAGTCAATTACGTAATCATATGCGAAAATAAGAATATTCGTCGCAGAAAGAAATATGATATTATGTTGTTAACTTTTATTATTACGTGAAAGTCGTCTTGGAGCCTGATTAATTGATTAACACATAAGTAGAGATCCGAATCGTTCAATCCGGATATGACCAACTGAAAATATTGACCGGCTATTGGTCATTTAATCGATTATCACCAACTATGAATGGATAACCGGATAATCGGATATTCAAATATTTGGATCCATTGTTTTTAAATTAATCATATTTTTTCGTACAAATTTTGATAAAATGAGTTCTAATAAATATTTTGATGCAAATTATAATGATGATGTTTTTTTTAGAACAAGAAACAATTTTAAGTAATTCCGAAAGATTAAGTAATGTATCTAGAACTTCATTTGACGATATAGATTGGAACCGTTAAAGCGGTTAACATGTTAAACCGGTTAATGATTTTTTAACCGGTTAAAAAAAGATGAATTTGACTCCGGTCGAAATTCAATTTCCGACCAGAATTAAGATATTTATGATTGCAAAATTATTGTCTAACTCCAGCCAAATTTATAGTAACCGTTGGCCCTATTTGACGAAAAGGGTCTGGTGGATCAGCTAAGCGAAGTTTTGTATGTATGGTTCCCTCAGAAAGAAATCTGATTACAGTGATTAGCAAAAAATAATAGTTGGAATAATTAGTACAATATAATTTGTCATTATTGCTGATAATAGGATGATCTGAATAATTTGAATAATCGTCATTAATCAACGATAAATTTATGAACGATTGATTAATCGAATACAATATTTTTGACCGCGGACCTCTATACATAAGACTTGTCGATCCTCCTTGAATCGTCACAATAAAAGCAATCATTTTTATTATTCCTTAAAAATTTTTTTGGTTTTTAAGAAATATGAGCGTTCGATTTTTTCGAGGTGATAAATTATTGGCTGATGAAATTGTGTAACTGATCAATGATCGAACAAAAAAAAAGGTTTCAAAAAAATGGACGGATTTGTTGTAATTGAATGAATTGAATTTATAACATCCATCCAATGAACGATAATTCGGTTAGTCTTTGCAGATCAATTTTGACTAGGCTGGCACGGTGCCAGGATGATACTCCTTTATTTTATACACACACTCCAATACTTTATTTCCCTTTCACTTTTGCTTCGTTACGTTATGTTAACTTTATTCATTGTAACCGTTTAATCTCTTTACTTTAATAATTTTTATTTTTATTTTATTATTTTTTTTCGTCGTTTTAATTAATTAATTTTATTGAATAATTTTTAATCATAATTACTACTGTACATTTTAATTAATAAAAACCTTCTGCTTACATAAATATAAACTGTATTAGTAATTAAACTAATCATATATAATAAACAATATTTTTTTAAAATCATTTTAATCATTTAATTTGATTTTAATGTTTTGATGATCAGTCCTTATTTATTACCTCACATACAACGAATGGTAATCCTAATCGGATGATTTGTATCTAATACTGAATGATAGGCCATTAAATCATGAGCTGATTTTAATAGATCGACGAGATAATGTCAGATAATAATAAATGTGTTGGAACTTAAAAAGATCAGTAACATTTTGCCAATCTTTACAAAACGCCAAAATTGGAAGTAAAGTTAGATTGCCATGTCGGCATTTTACGGAATGACACTAACATTTCCGATAATCATTTTCGTCAAGAAAATTGTTATAAATTGATTTGATTCCTCAAAGCAAAAAAAAAGTTCACAACTTTTCCAACATTTCTTCCAACTTATCAATTCATATTTTTTTTTTTTAAAAAAAAAAAATGATATCAACACTTTTTCAAGTCTCGTCCATGAATCTAATTATATTACCCATAATTGGATTGTTAACCTACATTGCAATATTTTATTATCGTTATTTTAATCGAACCAATCCGTTACCTGGTCCAATACCCTTACCAATTATTGGTAATGTACTACAATACCCCGGAGATGCTGGAAAATGGGCTAATCAATTACAATTAATATACGGCGATATATTCGAAATTTACTTGGGAACTACAAGAACCATATGTTTATGTCGAGCGGATCTAGTGGAAAATTTGATGAAGTCTAATTTTTACTTGCGCACAACACCAAACGATGGATTGGATGATTTTGGTGTGTCCAAAAAAGGAATCATCTTTAATAGGAATCATGATGATTGGTCGTATCATCGTCGGTTCTTGCAAAAAACAATCATGGCACCCCAGATCGTCAAAGAAACTGTCGAATCTACTCAGGTTTTATTCCAAGAAATGGAAGAATTGTGGAAACGCTTAGGTGATGAAAAGGAGATAGATTTCGCTGGATGGATTTCTCGATTCGGTTTTGAGAATATAGTACTTTTGACCACCACGTTAAGGATACACTCGCTTACAAATTATTATAATAAAGTAAATCCACAAGATAAAGTTGTTGAGCCCGAAGGAACCCTTCCAAACTCGGAAACTTATATCAATTGCGCGAAATCATTCTTTGATGGTGCCACGTTCTCCTTACTCACCCCAAAAATATTAAGATATTCTCCAGGCATAATAGGAACAACAAAGAACTTGTTGAATCAGAAAAATTGGCTGACCACAAACCTTTTGGGAATTATTAAAGCAAGAAGAGCTCAAATCGAAAATTCAACGGAAAAAATAGATACTCATGATATTCTAACTCAATTCTTGACCATTAACACTGATAAGGATGTCACCCAAGGTATTGTTGATAAAAATCATCCAGGGAGGATGAGTGATGATGACGTGAGAGCTAACATGACGGAAATTCTTGGAGGTGGAGCTGTCACAACTCCAAGCACAATTTGTTTTATTGTTCATTATTTGAGCAAATATCCCGACGTACAAAAACGTATGGTACAAGAGTTGGATAGTGTGTTGGGTAGTGATCGTGATAGTCAATTCACTATTGATCAATTAAAAAAGCTCGAATATACTGAGGCAGTTCTCAAAGAAGGTTTGTTATATATTCATTCGATTTTTGATTATCGTTTAATTTGAATCCTTATCATTAATCATGATTTTGTTTGTATATGATCAGTTTCACGTGTATTTCCTTCTGTACCGGTAAATTTCCGAGCTAGCTCACAACCAGATGAAATCGCTGGGTATAACTTTCCAGCCAACACACAATTTTTAATTAATATGGAAGGAATTCATCACCATCCATCCGACTGGCGGGATCCTGACATATTCAACCCGGATCGATGGTTGGACATCTCTTCCGGTTCAACTAAACGAAGCAAGAATACTTTTTTGCAATTCGGTGGTGGTGCACGTGTTTGCCCGGGAAGAAGCTTGTCATTGGCTGAAATAAAAACTGTAATTGCTTTATTGTATCGAAAGTATGATGTTGAGCTGGTGGATAAAGTTTCTCCACTGAAATATCATTATAGCTTTAATAGACAGTGTGATGAACTTAAAATTAAAATTAAACCTAGAAGTTAAAGCATTAGAAGGGTGGTGGGTGCGCATTTTGTACCTTAATTTCTAAAATTTTTCTCGGGAGAATTTTACTGCTTTACATTAGCATACTTTTTTTCAATGGAATACGAAAACATTAATCCATTTCAATATAAATCCGGTTGTTTCCCTTTTTTCCTCTCTTCTTGGAAAAAAGCAACTTCGTCGACATTATTAGTTATTATTTTATTGATTTAACGTTAAGAATTTTTAATTATTAATATGTAGTAAATTAATCAAATAAATAATTTTGTATTATTTTGTTTATAACACGCTGTCTGAATATTTTTCAAGTATTTCTTTTATCATTTTTTTTGAATTTTTTAAATATGTCGATATGCTCTGACTTTCTGTTCCTTATTGCTTATAATTTGAAAATTTTTGACATCATTTTTTCGTTTATCTAAAATTTCTTCACTGTGTATATATATATAAATAAGGCAAATCGGTATATAGGGAATCTAATCATAACGAATATTAATAATAATCTTGTGATCAACCTAAAAATTTTAACCTTAAACTTCATTACTTGTAAAGCAAATAAAAATTTTCTTTTTACTTTCTTATCATAATCAAAATGTCTGATAATTTCAATCAATTATAATATACAAATTTATTATTTTGAATTTTTAATAATAATATTATTAAATTTATAAAAATTTTCAATTTTTATTTTATGATATTTTAATATTTAATATTAAAATTCAATAAATATGTAATTTTAAATATTCTGCAAAAGTCTTTAATTATATAAAATATATGGAAAATGTTAAAAAAAAATTTTAATTTGAAAATTAATATAAAAGATACTAATAAATTTATTTTATAATTTTTTTTTTAAACTATTTAAAATTAAATTTATTAATGTTAATTAATATAATTATTAATATTTTATTATTATAATTTATATAAGAATTTAAATTTTTAATTATATTTAATAAATTTTCTTCTAATTAAAATATAGTTTTTAAATGCTTATTCTTATAAAAATTTGTGATATAAATTTAATTTATTAATAAAGATTATTATTATTATTTTAAATAAAAAACTCTCAAATTTAAATATCTATTAAAATTAAATATTCTTTTTACTTTTGATATAATATTTTGTATAAACTAAAATTAAGCAAAATTAATAGTATATAAAATATTTATTTTATGAGTGAATAAAAATTTATAATACTAAATTATATTATTAAATAATTTTAACATCATTATCTAATCTTTCTAAAATTTTTTTTTATATACTACAATCAATTTATCAATTTTTTAATATAAAATAACTTTATTTTTTTAATTAAAAAGAAAAAATAAAAATAAGTGAATAAATAAAAAAAAAGACAAAAAAAGTAAAAAAGAAAAAGTTATTGAATAAGAGTAAAAGAAAAATCAAAATTAAAAATCAAAATTTAATTAAAATTAAAATTAAACTTTTTTAATTATATAATTATAAAAAGGTGATATTTTAAATATTATTAATATAGTATATAAAATCTTTATAATAGAAAAAATTACTAATGATCTTCTTTAATTATTTCCTATATAATCTTTTTTTTTTTATAAGCATATTTTATTAGATCAAAATTAATAATAAACTTATTAAAAATTCTCTTTTATAATTACATCTAATATTTTATAAAATTAAATCATATTAAATTTTATTTAAATTCAATCTGATCTGATTTTCATTTTTATAGATATAATTTAAATCTGTATTTAATAGATCTATTTAAATTCAGATTTAATTTAAATTTAATAGATCAATTCTCAAATTTAAATCTGATTTGATCTAAATCAATTTGACTATAAAAGAAATATTAAAAGTTTCTTTTTATTGAAAGAAATAATTTTTTAATTATAAAATGATCTGAAAATTTTTTTTTTTATTAAAAAAAACAAATTTTAGTTATTTTATTAAATGATAATGAATTGTTTAAAAAGAATAATAATGTATTATTTAAGAAAAATATAATATATTATTCAAAAAAAATAATAATATATTATTTTAATTGAATAATAACGTATCATTTAAGAGAAATAATAATATATCATCTTAATTAAATAGTAATGAATTATTTAAAAAATAATAATAAATCATTTTAATTGAACAATAATAAATTGTATAATTAAAATAATGATAAATTATTCAAGAAAAATAATTAGTCTAAAGCAAAACAAAGAATTATATAAGATTAGATAATATGACATAAAGTATTTGATATCCGTTTGCTTACAGCTTAAGTAGATCATGATTAATTATAATATTATAAATAAAATAATTAATTAGTTATATTATTATTACATTCTTTATCATGTAATAATAAATAATTATATATATAATTTAAGCTTTGGACTTAACAACAATTTACTGTTTACTTAGTAATATATCATTTTAATTAAATAATAATAAATTATTTAATAAAAATAATTCAGAACTGAATCTAAATCTGAATCTAAAAGAAATAATATATTTATAAAAAATAAATAATAAACTAAAAAATAATAAGAATATATAATATTTTACTGTATCTTAAATAAAAAAAAATAAAGTAATATAATAAGTATATAATTTCTTAGATTAATAAAATTTAATTTATAAAAATCCTCTTGACAGAATATATTAAACAAGTACAACTTCTTGAAATTAAAATATTATATATTTATAAATACAGTTTTAATTGATAATAATATATAAGAGAGTAATAAATTAAAAATTAATATTATTATTATTAAAGAAATTTTGAATAATTTAAAAAAGGTGATTTAATATTATATTATAATTAATTATGTAAAAATAAAATTTTTAATATTTTAAATTGAGAATTAATAGACAAATTTAAGATAATATAAGAAAATTCATATTATATAATTTTATATAATATTAAATATGTAACTTTCATTATTTTAATAATAAAGTTTAAAAAAATATGTATTATATGTTAATAATATAGTATAATAATAAAAATCTTATTATAAAATTTATTTTTTTATATAAAATATTATAAATAGATTTCTATTTTAATAAATATTTATTATTTAAATAAAGTTGGCTAAAATTAAAAGTTTACTATAACGAGTTTTAATTATTTAGATAATAAGTGAATTATAACATATTTTTTATTAATTTAATAATAATATAATAAAATAATAATAATTAACAATTTATTAATTTTTTATAATATAATTAAAAATTAGTCAAATTAATATGTGTAATATTTATTTATTACTGGTTATAACTATTTGCAATGCTATCTTTACTTTAGAGGTTAGAACTAGCTGAAAATTCTTTAACCAGTTAAAATTAACTTTGGCCAGTACTATAAATTTGGTTAGAGTTAAACAATATTTTATCAATTATAAAAATCTTAATTCTGACCAGAAATTGAATTTTGGCTGGATTTAAATTCATCTATTTTAACTGATTAAAAAAAATCTTTAACTGGTTAATATGTTAATCATTTAACTGATTAATTAACCAGTTCTAACCTCTATTTTACTTTAAAATAGCTTATAATTTAAAGTATTTTATGATATTATATATAAGTTTACTTTTAATCAATTGAAAAATTTTATAACATAATTAATGTTTTATATAGTATTCCTGAAATTTTTATAAAATAAAATACTATAAAATGCATTTTACAGTATATGTAATAAATATAATTAAAAAAAATTATAGGTAATTATAATTATAATAGATATAGTATATAAAAATTATATTATATTTTAATTAATAAAATAAATTTTAAGAAACTGTTGATTTTTCCTTTTTTTTTATCTTTATTATTTTTTTTATTTTAATAAATATAAATATAGAAGAGGAATTTTTGATTTTATTATTTGTTTTGTTATTTAATTAGTGATATTTTTAAAGATAATTTTATGCTTATTATATAAGCAAAATTACTTTTAAAATGATATAAAAATATAATAAGAAAATATTAAATATTATTTATTAATTATTTATTTGTTTTAATAATTAAATGATATATATATTGTATTTATTAAATGCTAAATTTTTAAGTTTTTAAAATTATTAAAAAATAAATAATATATTATTATATAAGTTAAAATAAAATGTAATTTAAATTAGATATCAAATTACTTTTCTATTTATAAATTATAATAGAAGTAATAATATAATTATTTTTTATAGTTTAAATAAATAGAATAGGATATAAAGAAATATACAGTCCCTGTCAAAAGTAATAGCGGACAGTTTTTTAACCTTATACATGTAATTTTATATAAAATATAGGTAAATTTTTTTAAAATAAAGATAAAAACAATATTTATAAATTTTATTAGATAATTAATATGTAGTGTGTCTTCAATTTGCATCAATACATGCTTGAATTCGATTAGCATGCTATTAATACAGTTAAGTAATATTGAGTTATCAAGATTATCCCATTTCTTCATTAAAAAAAAATTTCATTTGAAATTTTTTTTGTGCAACTAATATTTTTAATATTTTACTCAATTTTTTTTTAAAAAACAGCCCAAATATTGTACGTTTCTATTCCAAAGGAACTTTAT